ATTTAGATATAGAGTATGAATAAGTTTTAATAGCTTTACAGTATATCAAGAGTCTGATGAGACAACTTGGCGAGTTACAGCTATAATTTAGATATAGAGTATGAATAAGTTTTAATAGCTTTACAGTATATCAAGAGTCTGATGAGACAACTTGGCGAGTTACAGCTATAATTTAGATATAGAGTATGAATAAGTTTTAATAGCTTTACAGTACATCAAGAGTCTGACGAGCCAACTTGGCGAGTTACGGCTATAATTTAGATATAGAGTATGAATAAGTTTTAATAGCTTTACAGTATATCAAGAGTCTGATGAGACAACTTGGCGAGTTACAGCTATAATTTAGATATAGAGTATGAATACTGCCTTAAAAAAAGAATATGTTTTATTTTACAAATCTTCATTGCTATTTAGCACTCAGGAAAAGAGTCATCAAGTTACCCCCTGTGTAAATATTGCTGGATTATCACTTTCCAACATCTCTTCCAGTTCGTCATCAGTCGTGGCTCGACCAGCTAGAAAAAAATCAAACATCTATTAATCCTTATAATAATGATCTGGGGATTTAGTAAAATGAATTATTACCATGATGTTTGGTTGTAATGTAAGTTAGACATTTTTAATCAATTAAACTCCAGAAATTAGAGGATTACTCTGGTGTTTTTGATAAGGATTAAATTATAAAATATTTATTATCAGAGTATGAACTGGAGTGCACTTATTATCAGAGTATGAACTGGAGTGCACTTATTATCAGAGTATGAACTGGAGTACACTTATTATCAGAGTATGAACTGGAGTACACTTATTATGAGAGTATGAACTGGAGTAAACTTATTATCAGAGTATGAACTGGAGTGCACTTATTATCAGAGTATGAACTGGAGTACACTTATTATAATGTGAGTACCAGCATTGTTTACTTAAGAGTTTCTCCATTGTTTTTACTTTAATTTGTAATATGCATTTTAAATGAAATGGTTGTTGTTGTTTTACAGCATATCACACTTTCAAGAAAGTTTGTAGAAATTATGACAGACTACAACAAAACCCAGACTGATTACAGAGAGAGATGTAAGGATCGTATTCAAAGACAGCTAGAAATAAGTGAGTTTTCTTTATTTCTTTCTATAGGCTTGCGATATTCTGTTCACTTCATACTCTGATAATAAGTGCACTCCAGTTCATACTCTGATAATAAGTGTACTCCAGTTCATACTCTGAACACACAAAAAATGGTTTTGCTTTTACGTGTAATTTATATAGTTTATCAAAATAAATATATATATATATATATATACAACCATTGTTTTAATGGTTTTAAACAAACAAATATATATTAGTTAAGCAAAAATTTCACAACTGTAAACTTACCTCAAATGTTTTTTTTAATTCCCATTCCGTTGAGTGATAAAAAAAGACATCACACGCGCTATTTATCAGAACTGGGTACCGATTACAGCGCAATAGCCAATAAAACGTGTTATTTAGATATATTTATCGTTATTGACCAATCATATAAATCACAACCAGATGAAACTACCCGATTGGTTTAATAATAATAGACATTGAAGCTGCCAAATAAGTTCTCATAATCTTGTGGCCAAGAAAGAACTAATATCGTTAGGTCATTTATTGAATCATTCGAAGAATATTTAATGATTTTTTTGGTTATGTGTGTCATGATGTGTCTGGTTTCTGACAGTACGATGGAAGGCATGCGGGTGGGATAAAAAGCAGATCAAATATGTCCTGGTACTGAGTATAATTCCCGGTAAACAGTAGCGATGAACACCTGCACAGTTTTAACCTTGAGTAGAACCAAACCTGTGCCAGGTTTACAAATGAAAATAATGATGGTGTGCTGTGAAAAATGACAAAAGTATTCTTAACCAGATGTTTATGTGAAAAAAGTACACAAACAAGTAAAGTGATACTAGTTGGACAGATTTAAAACGATGTTCAATCCCTACTTTGATTGGTATTTTGGTCTGTGTAGATAAATGAAGCAGTCTAAATTTATTATTTTTTCCTCATTATTTGTTCAGTTTTTATATGTCCATGGAATGGACACAACATCTATAAACTTTCAGTACAGCCATATCCCTGATGGCTATAACTTTTACAAGAATGAAAACTACAATCACAAATGTATAAAATGTAATCCTTACTTTAGCCTACAGATAAGTGTATAAAGCTGCTAAAATAGGGATCAAATTTTATAAATTTGTGATTGTGGTTTTAGTTCTTGTTTCATAACGTTTTGTAGCAGGGTCCCTATTTCGTTTTAAAATTCGTAATTTTTAATACTCCTGTTTGTTTACTTTTTATTTATACCTGTATAAAGTATATACTTTACCTTTAGAAACTGTCGCGTGCCTAACCAACGATATGTAGCGCCATCTGTCAGGTTGAATTGGGTTTAAAAGATATTTAAGTACGTGAATGATATATTTACCATTTATAAAAAAAATTCTGTATATATATATATTTATCGGAATATCAAAAGTGGATACCCACAGGCCAGTCAAGTAAACTGAGGAAATCTCGTAGCGATAGTCCGAGCCATCTAGGGGCTAGCCCCGCTGATATGATCAGGTAGGTAGTAGACAAAAAAAAAATGCTGTTTTAGAAAATTTTGAATTCTTATACCGGAAATGTTAGCGATCTTTTTAGCCTTTGAATGGTTGGTTTTGGGCGCGTGAATTATTTGGAAACCTTGTCAATCCCTACTATTAAGAACTACCATACTTAGTAATAAAATATTGTTGACTTATTTTGTTGTTCTACTTTACCAACATTATTTCTGTAATGATTAAATTTCATTATTGTCAATTTCTATCTGAGTAATGAACATTACTTCTACATGATTGAATGAAAGAAAGCAAACACTTTAATGATAAATAATTCTAAATTCAATTGTTATTCACTGGCCTCACTGTCCAGCTTGGGGGTCAATATATGCACTTTGCAAAAGTGACCAAGATAACATGAAAAATAAATATTCAGACAGAAGACAAACAAACAGTCTTGTAATCTGCAGTCTTTTTACATCTCTTGTAGCCATATAAATAACACTTAAAATTAGAAATATAACATTTTAGAATAAAAAATTACAGGATTTTTATTCATACAACTTAAAGCCCCATTTTTATCACAGAATAACAATTACAATGTTACCTGAGTTTTTCTTATCCTCAGGTCAGCTTGTGAGCTTGTATCTACCTGTTCATCTTGTTCGATGTTGTGTTCCATCACTAAAGTAAAGATGCATTATGCTTAAACACTAACCGTAGTGTCTTTACTTGACAGTATCCTGCTTCTTTAAATTTATGAAAAACAGTTAAACACATAAAAAAAGTTTCAAAAGCACTTCTTTAGCGAGAACTAGGAGTTTAAATTTTATTACGAGTTATAAGTTTTATTTATGTTTTTTTTTTCCTTTGTGAGTTATTATGAATAAAATAAATATTCACTACTAAACATTCACGAGCCTAAAGCTCTTGTTATTAAAGAAAAAAGGATTTGCCTGTCTGTCGAGCGAAAAAAGTAAATTATAGCAAATTCTTATAACATAAATAACCGTTAACATTTCATGAGCTCGAACTAGAGGTGGCAAGAGCTACTCTGTGTAATAGATCAGTAAGCTGCTGAAAAACAAAACTTACTTTTTAGCTTAGTTCGAGCTTTATTGGCCATTTTCTTGATGCCCGCCATTAAATCTTCCAGCTCCTGCTTCATCCCTTGAAAAGAATAAAAGAAAAATACAATACATTTAGTTTTTTTTTATGAAAACATACGTAGGCTAGAATATTAACACGTATCCCAAATGTATTTATATTTTTTCTTCTTATGTGTACTAAACACAGAAACGGAATGAATGGTATTTTTTAAAATCTTAAAAGATAAGACCTGAGACCATACTGACTATTGAAGTATCTTAATTAATTATGTAATGATAATAAATTACGTGATATAAGAAAAAAAATAGCAATTTTATACATAATGATAATTCAAGATATTTACAGTATTATGATAAAATTTACGAGCAGAGATTTTGCATTTATTTTTTCACATCTGGTTAGATATTAAATTTGATGACTGGTGTATCCCTATTGCTGTGTGAATCCTACATTTGAGATACTCCTTTTATTGAGGGGTTCTAGTTTGTAACTTAGTTTTATTCATCTGTTTTTTTTTATATATATGTGTCGCGTTTCATTTTTGGCCTTGTTATCTGAAAAATGTTTACAAATATAAATATAGGTAAGGAAACAGTTTTTATGCTTTCTTTCCTTTAGTTGTTAAATAAGTAAGACTTCGAAAATACATATTATACACTAGCTGGAGTACGCGCCCTCTGGACGGAAATTATGTACATTCATGATTAATGAAAGGTTATCTTAGGACATGAAAAGTTGCTTCCCATATATGTAATTGTAAAAAAAACGAAAACGCCCATAAAATCTACAAAAGACAAAATGTGAAACCGCAAGTTTGCATGTATCTCCCGCATGTACCCAACAAACCTTCATGCCAAATTTGGTGAGGATCCATCAAACAGGGGGTGAAATAGCGGTAGAAAACGCAAAAATTGTATGTATCTCCCCATGCACCCAATGGACCTCCATACCAAATTTGGTGAAGAGCCATCAAACAGGGGGTGAAATAGCGGTAGAAAACGGAAAACTTAAAAACTGTATGTATCTCCCCATGCACCCAATGGACCTCCATACCAAATTTGGTGAAGATCCATATACAGGGAGCGAAGCATGGTAAAAATGCCCATAAAAACACAAAACCGAAATTTTGTATGTACCCCCGCACGGACCTAATGAGCCTCCACACCAAGTTTGAGTAAAGATCCACCCACACCCTGCGAAGTAGTTGGATGGACATACAACAGACAGTAATATTATATTTATATAGACTATCTTTTGAATGTTACTTATATTTGAACTTACAGTTGACAGAAAGGTACATCTGATTTGTGGGGCAGATTTGTTTATCACATATTATTTGTTTCACAGCTTGTATAAGTCTCTAATGTTGAGCATCATATACAGAGGGTTGATTCTGTTATATTAAAACGATTTTAAGTATGCAAATCAGCAATCCCCGTGACAAAATAGGGGAGTTAGAATTTCCAAGACAAGTATATTCCTTATAAATGATGTTAGAAAACAATAATTATGGATCAACTTGGGATACCGGGACCACCCAAAAACAGACCTGTGACAATTCATACCCCAGTCACGGTAAGGAAAGTGCGGCATTTTTAAACAGATGAAAATTAAAGAACAGAAAGATCAATGGCAAAAATCATCCACGTGCCTTAGACAACGGTAAGAAACATAATCGAGAGCTTTCAGAGGGCAGAGGAACTCCGTAACAGCTTGCCCTTCCCCCTCTCAATTAAATCTCAAATCTAGTTTCTCTGGTTTGTTACATTGAAGAGTTCTGAATAGAATTTTATACCTATAGTTATGTCAGTATTAGACATAATTACCAA